ATAGCTGGTATCTTTGCCAGCCAAGCTCAGATGCTTGCTACCGAAATGGCACTGAAGTTTGCTCAGCTTCTTAGATTCAGCTGACAGAACTTTACAACAAACAACACATTGTGGTTTCTCAATTCCTGCTGTAATTATTGAGGCAAAACCACACTGTTAAAGGTTCTCGGTATATTTTCTTAACGTTCTTCTCTACAGGATCCATTGTCACGGGATGTTTTTCTAATGAAAATAATATATAACAATAGCTTTAATAATACAAAAGATGAAACATTGGTATTGAGTCAATACAGTGCATTAAAGGTCCCTACGATTTACCATTCTGGGTTGTTTTTTTTTTCTTCTTCATAGCTGTTACTATCACAAGGGGCTAGTATTCACACCAACCACAGCTGAATATAAAAAAAAATACATAAATATATATATATATATATATATATATATATATATATATATATGCAGTAGTTGATATTTTTTGTTTTGTTTTGTTTTTTGTTTTTTCGAGACAGGGTTTCTCTGTGTAGCCCTGGCTGTCCTGGAACTCACTCTGTAGACCTCAAACTCTCAAACTCAGAAATCCGCCTGCCTCTGCCTCCCAAGTGCTGGGATTAAAGGCGTGCGCCACCACCGCCCGGCCAGTAGTTGATATTTTACAGTACATAATTTTACAGTTACCCAGTAATTAAAATTCACGAAGTGTCATTTTTACTTCCGATACTGCTGCTCTCTACACGTGCGACTGGCCCACTGTAAGCACACAATGGTACCGACCCTGTCACATACACCTGTATTGTATTTGTTCAGGGTAGATGAGATGGGGTTGGTGCTATGATGTCATCACGCTGGGTACTTGTAGGTGGCATACCTGCATGTGGATATCCCCCTGGAGATGCATAGAGGAGCCGTGTGTCAGGAAGGAAGGTGGCCTTCCTGAGACCACCAGAAATTTGTCTTAGGCGACCCCTGTGAAAGGGTCATTTGATCCCCAGGTTGAAAACTGCTGCCATAGGAGATCAGCCGAATTAGGGAACTGACTTCCAGGAAGTACAGTGTTAGCACCATCACACACGTGTACACACGCATGCGTGTACACACACACACAGAGAAAAGATGGAGAAGAGGTGTTTTTCTCAAGTCTGAGGCACAGGGATTTGGGTTCCATGCTCTCCTTGGTTCATGTAAGGTAAGGGGAAAAAAAGAGGCTTGTCTTTTACTAAAGTGAGTGGAGGTAAAGACTTCTGACCTTGACCAGGATGATTATTTATCCAGATGTTGCAAACCCAGCACTCTGAGAGGCCATGGGCATCCTTCCCGTTCAGTGCTGAGCCTCTGCTATCCTCATAGTCCACGAGGGGCTCCATTCCCCTCTCTACAGTCTAGAGCTAAGGACTGACCCATGGGGCCTTACACATGCTAGATGAACATACACCACTGGACTACTCTCTAGCTCTTAGATTGCTCTATGGTTTGAGACAGAGTCTCACTAGGCTGTCCAAGCAGGCCTTAGACTTCAATCCTCCTGCATCAGCCTTCTGAATAGCCTAAAGTTACAAGCCTATGCCACCATGCCTGGTTCACATCTTCACATTTCTGATTCATCATCAAATCTGTGCACAGAGACTAAGTGTGAGGGGCTTAGGACTGTCTGGCTCCACTCCGCCTGTGATCCTGGCTGTTCAGCAGGCGAAGGCAAGAGGATTGCATAAACTCGCAAGTTTGTAGTCCAGCCTGGGCAATGTGTTAAGATTCCTCCCTTCCTTCCTTCCTTCCTTCCTTCCTTCCTTCCTTCCTTCCTTCCTTCCTTTCTTTCTTCCTCTCTTCCTCTCTTCCTCTCTTTCTCTCTTTTCTCCTTCCTTCCTTTCTTTGTCTGTCTGTTTCTTTCTTTTTTGAGTTTTTTGTTTGTTTACTTTCGAGACAGGGTTCTCTGTGTAGCCCTGGCTGTCCTGGAACTCACTCCGTAGACCAGGCTGGCCTCAAACACAAAGATCCTCCTGCCTCTGCTTCCTGAGCACTGAGATTAAAGGCATGTGCTACTACTGCCCAGCAATTCCTTATTTCTTAAAGTGAAAGGAAAACATACTTAGACAATTGGCAGCAGGGTTGACCTGGGTGTCATTCTGTTGTACTTAGCAGACACAAGTAAACCAGTGATAGTAAGTGTGGTGCTCAGGAAGGCTTAGGGACAGGCCCTGCAGGCCTCCAGCCTACCCATCCAGGGACCCAGTACCAGGAGCAGCATTCTGCACAGAGCAAGGGTCAGCCAAGAGAGGAGGGGACAGAAGCGTTTTGTTTTTTTCTTTCTCTCTCCTCCTCCTCCCTCACTTCTTCTTGTCCCCCTTCCTGCCGCCCCCCACCCCCCGGGCAGTTTTGTTGGAGATTGAGAGGATAGAAAATTAGGCTAATTTGGAACTTGGGAGAACTGAAGCTATTTTGCCTTCAGGAGTGGGGCTAAATTCAATTCTCCTCCCCAAGAAAGCAAACAGCAGATGGATCACTGGGACTCAGTAACTGGCTTGGCGTCATCCATAAGCTGCAACTCAGCAAGAGACGATAACAAACAAAACCCAAAACAAAAATAAAACAACTCAAGTGGGGTCCTAGGCTTGGTGGCAAGAGCCCTTCCCTGCTGAGGCAAAAGTTGTCTTCCAACCTCCACAGGTGTTCATAGCACACACCCACAAATACTCTCAAGGTTGAGGTTGACCTCTGACCTCACACTCATTGGCATTCGAGATCAAGTTTATACACAAAAGAAAAGGGAAAACAGGAGGCAGGCTCCAAGGTAACTAAGGCTAAGATTCACTGCACTGGGGGGAGGGAAGGACAATGGGGGAGGGGTAGCTTCAGAGACTGTCGCAGGTAAGTAGTGTCTCTAGCAAGCAGACAGATTTCAGCACAGAGAAGGACACAGAAACACAAGCAAGTTCGATTGTTTAACTCTGAGAGCTAAGGGCAGGCTGACAGGCAGAGTTCAGATAACTACATCAAGGGAGGGGCTTGGGGGAATTTAAATTCCCAGCTTTTAAAACTAAACCCAAACAAAACAACACCACTTCTCAGTCAGTGCCCTGGCTCTGGGGCAATTTGCATCCCTTGTCCTCTGGAAGGCCATAAAAGAGGACTCTGAAAAATACGTTCTTCCAACTCCAACCCCACAGCTCCCGCCCTGATCTTCCGTTCCATCCCACTCTTGAGGACGTAGTTAGATCTTACCCTGGGGGAGTTGGTGCTGTCACATTTAAATGAGGAGCTTTGGGACTGGAGAGAGAGGAGGCCTTGCTGGCTCCTGCCGGTCTGATAATGTGTCAGCTCCAGCTTCAGCTCCACTGCTGGTGTGAGAAAAGTGGGTGGGTGGTTGAGGCCAGTGGGACCGGTAGCCAAGACCCCCCCCCCCATTGAGTCGAGCCAGGGAATCCCTGGCTCCTCCCACTCAGATCGGAGACACAGGATTGGATCCTATCTATAGAGCTCTCTGGTTGCTGGCTCTCTCTGGGCCACAGTTTCCCCAAGCGGGAAGTGAAGATCAAAGGATGACTCTTTCTGTTCCTTTTCCCCCCTCTATGGTCCAGTGATCAAGTCCTGGGTTCCTTGAACAGCATGTGATAGGAACCTGAGGGCACTTGGCTGGAGTCCTGGTGAAATGGAGCACCCTGTTTGAGCCCTCCTTTCTTTGATGGGAAGGCCTCGCCCAACCTCCTACCTGCTCCTCCTGGAGCACCAGGACTCCTTGAAGGATTTCCTAGGAGGTAGCAAAACAACTAGGAAAGAAAGTTGCAGATTCAGCACTTTTGGTTAAGGAATCAGTCTCCAGAGCCAACCCAGTGAGATAGTAAAAGGCTGGTTCCAAAGTTTATTGCTGCGATTCCCCAGTTCTATGAGCGGTCTCCGTTCCTGCTCTCTGAAGAGATTTCTCCTCACAGGAAGTAACTGATCTGGAGGAATCCATGTTTTACAAAAATGATCTAGGCACAGATAAACACAACCAAAACGTTCCTGGGGAAACTGGACTTGTTGGATCCTCCTCTTTTGAGTCTGGAGGTGTCTATCTGGGCTTTGTTGCTTAGAAGGAAAAAAAAGGGGGGAGGTGGGTGTTTAATAATTACCTCTGTTGACCTCTGTACTTTCTGGCTTCCTCCACGCCTAGGCACAAGACATGGCCCTTCCTGGGAATTGGCCCTACAGTTGCCGGCTGGGTGGTGGTCAGCTGAGCGAGCATCATCGGCAAAGGTAAAGCCTGCTTCTTTCCAGCCTGGGACATAGTCAGAGAGGGGATTTAGACACAGGGTACCACCATCACCTCTCTATGTTGTACATTGAGCTGGTTTACTCCAACAAATCATCCCTGCCTTGGTAGGTTTCAGTATGTTTCAATTCTTTGTTTCTTTGTTTCTTTCTTCTTTGTTTCTTTGTTTCTTTCTTTCTTTCTTTCTTTCTTTCTTTCTTTCTCTCTTTCTGTTTCTTTCTTTCTTTCTTTTCTTCTTTTAAAGACAGAGTCTTTCTATGTATCTCAGGTTGGCTTGACTTGCTGGATAGCCCAGGCTGGCCTTGAACTTAACTATTTCCTACCTCAACTACCCCGGTGCTGGGAGTACAGTTAAATGCATTAACACGTATGTAATATGTAATAATGTCTTTATAGTTTTGAAAAACAGAAACATCGGGTCATGGAAGTAGAGCATATTTGAGATGTACTGGGGGCAGGGAGGAGGATACAAGGTAACTTTGGAAGAGCAGTGGGAAGCTGTGTGGCGTGGACAGCCTTCATGTCTGGTTTTCATCCTGGAGTGGAGCAGAGTATTCTGGGGGGGGGATGAAGGACTGTGCTCTGCTCAGAGAGAGCAGCTCCTTGCTTTTGGTCAACCACCTAGATGCCCAAGCCTGAGAGAGACCTTGTTGACATCCCACCCCTTCACCCGGGCACCACTCCACTTTGCATATTGTTTGCACTATCTGACCCAAGAGACTCTCCTTACAGCCCCTGGAGCTAGCAGTGGGCAACAATGGAGGAGACAAGCCCAAGGAGACGGAAAGAGGATGAGAAATCCATCCACAGTACTGAACCCAAGACCACAAGACTCCAGAAAGAGGTGAGGGGTTGGCAGGGTTGGGGTTGGGCAGCCAGTATTGGGGAGTGTTGGTGGTCCCTAGGCTCCACTGGTCCCTAGAAGAAGCACAGGATTGCTTGCTTGCTTGCTTACTGAACCAAGGTCTCGCTATGTAACTCTGCCTGGCTTGGTAGTATCCTAAGAATTGAGATGATGGCAAGCAGTGCATGGCAGCACCATGCCTGGCGATGTTTTATTGTTGCTGTTGTTTTTATAGTCTGTGTGTCAAGTCTTCCTGGAGCTGTAAACACAGCAGCTGTGAGCTACCATGTGGGTCCGGGGAATAGAACTTGGGTCCTCAGAGCAGTCCTCACTCTTAACTGCTGCATTGGCCCTCCACACCCAGGCTGACTTTAGTACGTTTAAAAGTGAACAGTCATCTGGACTTGTCTCTTGCACACCCACCAGTGAGTTCAGTGAACTCTTTTGAAGTTCATGTCTCTGTACTTAAAGTCCATGTATGCGTTTCTCTGTGTCAGCAAGCCATCTGACCTTACAGGGAGCCTGTAAACCAATGGTCCTTTCAAAAAGGATCAGAGAGGCCTCTGATGGCTGGTTCCCCTAGGCCTCCAGTCTCTTAACCGCAGCTGGCCGTCATCTGTCCCAGCTGTGGTGCTGGGGATGGTTGAGCCTCCAGCAACTGTGCTGCTGTGCACCAGAGAGCCCAAGCTAGCAGGAGAGGAGCTGACAGGTGGGACCAGCTGAGTGCACGGAGGTGCTGGGGCGGGGTGGGGGGGAAAGACTGAGTTCCAGGGTAAGAGTGGAGGTAAATTGGAGCTGGGCACGCCACTCAGCACCTGTCCCAGGTATGTAGACAGAGCAGGAGCCAAACAAAAAGGGCCACAAAGCCTTTTAGGCTCATGGATGAGGAACCAGGGCTCCAGAGCAGCTCATGGTAGGTTTTGAACTCCAGATGGCTTCAAGGGCAATGCTGAGGGTACCGTTGGGTCCCACTGCCTAGCAGTTAGAGGGTCTGGAGAGGGATGACATGAAACTATGTGGCCTGGTGGGGGATGGTATATCCCAACTGAGAGTCAGCATGGAGTCTTTGTCCCCAGCAGCCAGAATCTGGACAGTGACATTGTCTTCCCTGCCAGTTGGAGTCCTGATCCCTGTAGTATCTTCTTGGGACCCCATGACCCTGCAGCCACCCAGCATAGCAAGAAAATGCCAGGTGTCTACATTCAAGTGACCAGATGCTGAATGGCCACTGATGTCCAATTTGGAAGCTACCAGTCTCTCTGCTGGGGAAGGTTCTGGAGGTCTCCAGGGGCACTGAGACAAGCCCACACCCTGGGAGGGGCCGAGGAAAGAAAGGAAGCCTGGGCAGCTTCACCCAGCCTAATGCTGGATGGAAGCTGGTCTTGTTCCTCCTGAGTCTCCATTTGTGTTTGCAGAGTCCTGGGCAGCCTCAAGGGCCAGCAGTATTAAGCAGAAACCTGCGGCAGCTTTTTTCTTTTCTTTTTTTTCTTTTTCCATTTATTTATTGTTCCAACATTTATGTAAGCATTTGTAACCTCAGTCTTTGAGCTTTCGTGTATGAGCTTTTTTTCTTTATTTTGTAATTTTACTTAGGTTTTTTTCTTTGACTCATTAATTGGTATTAAGTTTATGCAAAATAAAATGTCCCGATTCCCCCCCCCCTTTTTTTCTTTTTGAGACAGAATCTCATGTAGGAAAAGCTTCAAACTCACCACATAGCCAAGGATAACCTCAAACTCCTGATCCCCCAGCCTCTACCTCTCAAGTGCTGGGATTTCAGGCCTGAGCCATCTGAGTGCCTTCCTTAAAAAAAATGGTTTTTTTTCCTAGAAAGCTCAGGCCTCTGAAGTGTCACCATAGGAGATTTTGTCACTGTCACCAGTGTTCTGTTCCTGGGAGGTTTCTACTGTTCATGTGGTCAGGACTCAGTCTTTGAGTCTTGTCTTGATGGTGGGAAACAATTTTTCTTTCTCCTTTTTTCCTTCCTTCCTTCCTTTCTTCCTTCCTTCCTCCCTCCCTCCCTCCCTCCTTCCTTTCTTTTCTTTTCTTTCTTCTCTGTCTCTCTCTGTCTCTCTCTCTCCCTCTGTCTCTGTCTCTCTGTCTCTCTGTCTGTCTGTCTCTCTCTCTCTTTCTTTCTCTCTCTCTCTCTGTTTCACTATGTCAGGCCGGCCTCAAAGTCAAGCCTCAGCTTTCCCAGTACTGGGAATGCTGACCATCACACCCATTGAAGGCTGTTCTGTTCTGACCAACCAAGAGCCATTTTCCACAGGTTCTTTCTTCTTTCTGGAGCCCTGATAACCAGATCAGTGTTTATATGGAATGCAGGAATCAAGCTCTGCTTTCCCTTCCTGGCTGTCTGCCTCAATTCCACCCTCCTGCCCAGTGAAATGGGTGTGATAGGGTATAGCCAAAGGCTGGGGCAGTTCTGATGCCTTAGTGTAAGGAAATGACCTGGTATTCCCGTGACAGCAGCACAGGGTGGAGATGCTGGGGCACGAGTCAGCTTGGGTTCTTGTGGCTACACTGGGGCCGAGGGGAGTCACCTCTGGCCCCGTGAACTCCTGGCTGGTAGAATTCGTTCTATTCTTGCATGTGCAGGTGGGGCTTCTCAGTGGCATCTGTATCATTGTGGGAACCATCATCGGTTCCGGGATCTTCATCTCCCCGAAGTCTGTGCTGGCCAACACAGAATCCGTGGGGCCCTGTCTCATCATATGGGCAGCCTGTGGAGTCCTGGCTACACTGGGTAATAGAGGGGACTCCCTGGTAACTGCTCCATCAAGGGTGGAGACAAGCCACACACAAGCACAGGGTCTCATTTGGTAGCCAGGGCTGGTCTCAAACTGTGGTATGTGTGTTGCAGGGGGTGGGGGTAGAGGACTGGAGGGGGGCTGTGGTTCCCAGTCCTCTGCTTCCTCCCTCTCACGGTGTCTAGACACCACTGCAACACCAGGCTGGAAGGATGAAGCAGAGCCCGGAGTGGGCAGGGTTTTGCAGGATCCCAGTCTGGCTGGGAGTGTGTGTGTGTGTGTCTGTGTGTCTGTGTGTATGTGGTGTGTGTGTCTGTGTGTGTGTGTGGTTCTCTGAGGATCTTAGTGTTACAGCTCTTTTAGACGAAGGCCTTCTCTGACAACCATCAGGGAAACACCTCTCTCAGAAGATCTTCGCTTGTGTGCATACCTTTATTCTGGGCTGGCTTGTATACATATACCTTATTCAGGGTGAACCTGGGGTACATATGGACCTTTGGAACATGGGAAGTGGTCCTTCTTAGGGTGAAGTTTCAGTGGCTAGACTTTAAAGTACTAGGAATGCCTCCTTTGCATGGAGAGGTGTTCCAGAACTTCCAGGTACTTGCTGGGGTGGGGATTGAATTTGTAAATCTGTCAAGGACTATTCAACCTTCCCCAGGTAGAGGGTATGAGGGAGTAGGGCTCCCCAGAAAAGTTTCTAAATGTTGGGATTATAGCCTTGCACTACCATGCCCAGCTGGGTTCCTTGCAGTGGATGTGTGGTAAATAAGGGTGAATCTGACTGCAGTTAAAGATCCAGCAACCAGAACCAGGCTATTCAGAATGTGAGCCCCTAAAGGAGGAAGACTCTGTGGAATAGGATGGAACCTCATAAGGAGGGGGGCTCCCTTCTGTGTTCCAGGCGCCCTGTGCTTTGCAGAGCTTGGCACAATGATCACCAAGTCAGGGGGTGAGTACCCCTATCTGATGGAGGCCTTTGGCCCCATCCCTGCCTACCTCTTCTCCTGGACCAGTCTGATCGTCATGAAGCCCTCATCTTTCGCCATCATCTGCCTCAGCTTTTCGGAGTATGTGTGTGCGGCCTTTTACTCAGGCTGCAAGCCTCCTACTGTGGTGGTGAAACTCCTGGCTGCTGCTGCCATCTGTGAGTGGGGATGGGAAGGGAAGACAGGGAAGGCTTGAATTGTTGGTGTCTTTGGGATTCTAATCTTGGCTCTTGCTGCCCCAGCACAGCAGACCTGCAGGGTTTGGTGAAGCAGGCCCAGGTTGGCTATCCTAGAAGATGTTGGGCAACCCCCGAGCCTATGGGAGGGGGCTATCCTGGGCTTTCCTTCTTGTTCAGGGCCTTCTCCTTCACAGTCTGAGATTGGACTTAATTTCAAGGATCAACATTGGTGTATTTTAATGTTGCTAAAGCTAGTTTGATCAATTCTACTCCCACTGTGGGGTGGGGGATAGAAAAGAAGGGATTTCCAGGACCTTGGGAAAAACCATGAATACAGAATGTTACCCGATTTGGGCCTTCCAGTGCTTATCACTACAGTGAATGCGCTGAGCGTGCGACTTGGCAGCTATGTCCAGAATGTCTTCACGGCAGCCAAGATGGTGATTGTGGCCATCATCATCATCAGCGGACTGGTCTTCCTGGCCCAAGGTGAGGTGCGGCAGGATGGGAGAGCAGACTCCACCTGGCATGTGACTTTTTGTCTTCTGGAGCAGTCTCGCCCACTAGCATGTGTGTTTTGTGGTTTACATATTTGCGCTTGCTTGCTAGCATTGATGGGTTGGTTGACTGATTGACGATGCAAGAACTTACAGCCCAGGCTTGTCTCTAACTTACAATGCTCCTGCCTCAGCATCCCGAGTGCTGGGATGACAGACATATACTATCACACATAGTTTTGGTTCTTTTAATAGGCGGGTCACAGCCATACTCTTCTTTCTGGTAGACAGGGGAATGAAGTCAATGTCTGGTCAGCTGACGTTCTTCGCTGCCTGGCTTAATTTCAGGAAATGTAAAGAACTTTCAGAATTCTTTTGAGGGTGCACAGACCTCTGTGGGCGCCATCAGCCTGGCATTTTACAATGGACTCTGGGCCTACGATGGGTGGTAAGCACTCCTGAAACATTCCAAGTCCACACTAGTGGGGTTTCTACGATGCTTTGACTTCAGCTGCCATAGAGAGCAAAGATGTCCCCTTTCTGGGGCACAGCAGCGCCTTTAGCTCCACCTTCACAGACCTTTGAATGAAGTGTTCAAACCCTGACCTTTGTGGGGTCACATGATCACCTTAACCCTTGGAACTGGCACCAGCCCCTGACAGTGCCCTGTGAGGGTGTAGTTGGTGAAGCCTTGTATAGAATCTTTACCTGGAGAATACCATCTGAGCTGAATGGAGGTAGCACAGGCTGCCCAAACACCTGACCAGACCAAGGATTTCAATGGTACTACCGCAGCAGTCCGGGAGACATTAAATGGACCGTGCTGTGTCCCTCAAGGCAGAAGCATGGCCATGGAGATGCTGGCCCTCCCCTGTAACCACTGGTACAGGGTTCATCCTTCTTTCAGCCTCTTTCCAGATTTTCAAAGTACCTTGAATATCCTTGGAAATTCCCATGATTTCCACAGAGAGCAAAGAAGTAACCCAGTGACAGACAGCTAGCTCTTGGCAGTTGCAAGGAAGACCTGTCACCACCAGGACCTAGGGAGCAGAAGTTACCCCACATTGGTGTGGAAAGCTCTCTTGGGCCTTTTTTCCCCTCAGCACTAAGTACTCCTTGCATTATTTTATTTTGTTCTATTTTTAATGTTCAGGATAGAACCTAGGGCTTTGTATATGCTAGGAAAGCAGTCTATTGACAAGCCACACCCCCTTGCCCCCACCCCTGACTCTCACTGGGGGATTCTAGGCAGGGGCTCTACCACTGACCCACGCCCCCAGCCCCTCACTGGGGGATTCTAGGCAGGGGCTCTACCACTGAGCCACGCCCCCAGCCCCTCACTGGAGGATTCTAGGCAGGGGCTCTACCACTGAGCCACGCCCCCAGCCCCTCACTGGGGGATTCTAGGCAGGGCTCTACCACTGAGCCACGCCCCCAGCCCCTCACTGGGGGATTCTAGGTAAACACTGATGCTTATCCATGTCATTCTGTCCCACAGTAGAAATCTTAAAATGAGCCAACATTTATCATTGCTCCACAAACCTAGCCAAGAGAAGTCATGTAGCACGTCACGGTGTCATCCTTGTTACTTTTCTTTGTCTAGGAACCAGCTCAACTATATCACTGAAGAGCTTAGAAACCCTTACAGGTAAGAGCATTGCGTAGGGGAGGAGGTGATGTTCCCACAGCGTATTTCTCTGTGGGCAGACAGTGGAGCTTCTGCCTCTTTCAACTGTTCTGTTATTCCATGAGCGTCTTCCATTCAGTCGATTGCCCTCCCAACCCCTGTGGGGGTGGAACCCAGGGCCTTGAGCATTCTGGGCAAGTGCTCTACCACTGGTCTATGCCCTGTTGCCAAGTGAACAACAGTACCCTATGTGCTCATTATCCCATTAGTCTGTCTCTGTTGGACAGTGGCATGGTTGGTAATCGGGAGGAAGAACGTTGACTTTATCTCTTCTTTATTTTGCTTTAAGCCATCCGATTCTCCTGTCCTGGAAATGCCTTTGAAAACGTCTCTCATCTCTGTTGGGGCTCCTGTGAATTAGAAGCAGGGTAGAGAGGAGGGAGGAAATAGACCAGTTGAAAAATGTCAGTAGTACCAGTTTCACAGGATGCTCTGGGGTGACTCTGGGTTCCTGTGTATTTGTCCCTCTCAGAAACCTGCCCATGGCCATTGTCATTGGGATCCCTCTGGTGACAGTATGCTACATCCTCATGAATATTGCCTACTTCACGGTGATGACCCCAACAGAGCTCTTGCAGTCTCAGGCTGTGGCTGTGGTAAGTGGCTGGTGCGGTGACCTTCGGAAGGAGGGAGACTCAGAGCGGATGGACTGGTCACATATCTAGGCTGGGGGTCCAAAGGCGATGGGTAAGACTGTCAACATGCAGCAGGCTGCGGCTTCTGGGTCCTCGGCCTCCTTCCCAGCTTTGTGTAGCAATGGCTGAAGGACTGTGGGCTGGAGTCCTCAGAGGAAGGAGGGAGAAGAATGCAATGAGTGAGAGGAGGTGACTTTAGTAATGGGTTGTGGGACCTAAGCTGACTAAGGGTACCAGGGCACCTAGGATGTAGAAAGACCCATGAACCTGACACTGGTGGTTAAAAGAAGGTCATGCCTGGTGAGGGGATCAAGGATGTATGCAAGGTAGGGCTAGGAAGTGAGGTAATTAAGATGAAGCAGGTCCAGGAAGTGAGGTAATTAAGGTGAGGCGGGGCCAGAAGTGAGGTAATTAAGGTGAGGTGGGACCAGGAAGTGAGGTAATTAAGGTGAGGCGGGGCCAGAAGTGAGGTAATTGAGGTGAGGTGGGGCCAGGAGTGAGGTAATTAAGGTGAGGTGGGGCCAGGAAGTGAGGTAATTGAGGTGAGGTGGGGCCAGAAAGTGAGGTAATTGAGGTGAGGTGGGGCCAGAAGTGAGGTAATCAAGGTGAGGCGGGGCCAGGAAGTGAGGTAATTAAGGTGAGGTGGGGACAGGAAGTGAGGTAATTAAGGTGAGGTGGGGCCAGGAAGTCAGTGAGGTGAGTTAGGGCCAAGAAATAAGATAAGTGAGGTTTGTCCGGGGAGGTGAGGTGGAGCTGGGAAACTGAGGTGAGAAGAAGTAGGGCCAGCAAGTGAGGGTCAGGACAATGAGAAGACTGACAGAGATGCCAGGGTGGTGGGCAAGGGTCCTGTCACTGGGCTGCTCTGAAGGCTTCTCCCTTTTCTCCAGTAGAGAGCCCCAGAGGCTGTGCACAGTAAAATGACATGGGGCTGTGGGTGCCGTGTGAGATCCCTCAGGATGGTACTCTGTTTTTCTGCAGACCTTCGGAGACCGCGTTCTCTATCCAGCGTCTTGGGTCGTCCCACTTTTTGTGGCGTTTTCAACCATCGGTGCTGCTAATGGGACCTGCTTTACAGCGGGCAGGTAGGGTACTCACTCCTTGTCACACTTGGGGACAAGAAAGTCAGTGAGGGACCCCCTACATCCTTAAGGCTCTCTGCTAGGTTAAACCCCACATTGGGGCTGAACCCAGAGCACACTGGGTACACAAACGTGTACAAACTCTGAAGTCTATGCAAGGGATGTGGCTCGATCCTCAAAGTAAAGTAGCCAGGAAGCGTGGACAGCCTTGCAGGATGGAATTGGGCATGACGTGTGCACTTTGGTGGTCCTGTGCTCTAAACTAGGGAACCTTGCCACTTTAGGACAAGGCAGAGGCAAAGGTCACTAGGTGAACAAGGCTTGTCTTTCACTTGGCACTTTCTTTCTTTCTTTCTTTTTTTTTTTTGGTTTTTCGAGACGGGGTTTCTCTGTGTAGCCCTGGCTGTCCTGGAACTCACTCTGTAGACCAGGCTGGCCTCGAACTCAGAAATCCACCTGTCTCTGCCTCCCAAGTGCTGGGATTAAAGGCCTGCGCCACCACCGCCCAGCTTCACTTGGCACTTTCTGTGTTGCATTTTTCTCCCCAGATGATCCTTCCTGAACATTCTGTCATGTTAATATCTGCATGGACTTGACCGGGAATTGACAGGCTTTCCTATAAATGAACAGATGTCAATGGCTGTAGGCTTGCAGGCTATTATCCGTGGAGCCCTGAACAGCTGTGGGGCTAACTGCATGAGCAGGTGTAGTTTGCCACTCTCTAGATCCCGCTGGCTGTGCTGTTTCTCTTTGCGAGGCATATGCTTTAACTAAGCCCCTGGTGATGGGCCAAGTGTGAGTTGTTTTTATGAACACTGTTGTGGGGAATGTTCTAGAACATGTCTTTGCCCAGGGTAGTGCTCTGAATGGATAGACTTCCAAGTGGTGCTGCCCAATATCACATGTTAAAAGTGAATCCACACTACAAAATAATTCTGCTAAAGCTACAGTGAAGTGTATATAGAGGCTAGCCCCCAACTTTCTCCAGGTCCTGTGTTCCATCTGTTGGACTCTAAGATCCAAAACCAGGGGACGCACTCCCACAGAAACACACACGGACGGGACTTGCTGCAACAACATGAGGTTTAATGATACCAGTGCACCGGGACTCTCTCGAATGCAGGCAAGAGAGCCCGGAACAAAGGCTGGGAGCAGTTCTTATACAGAGTTCATGAGGGCAACCACAAAGGACCACAAAGGCTGACCTTCCCAGGTCTCTAGGTGACTAAGATTCACACATTTCTTTTATGACAATTAGTGTCATAAAAGTTTGCCCAGGTTTACCACATTAAGGGCCCGGCTTCCTGATTACCTCTCATCTTGGTTCTCCTGGAATGTGTCTGTGTGTTCTGGGCCTTCCTCACCCGGAGGTGAGTTCCCTCCCCTATGGTCTGAGGAATGTTAATCAGCATCTCCTTTCTTCCTCTGAATGTTAATCTAGCAAGTGTCTTTTGACTAAGGAATGTGCCCCTCCTGGGATGTGTCCTGGGACAGTGGGGTTCTTTCAATTCTAAGTTCAAACCAAAAAGGACCGGAAAGTCCTACACATCTCTAGCAAGGAAGGAAGAGAATGGAGAGATGGAAAAAAAAAACCACTTTCAGTTAGTCTCGGGTCTTGATATTTATGTGTAAATGATGTTTTCTAATTAGCAACTAATTGCATGTGTTTCTGAGCTACACTGTGATGTTTTGATGTCTGGCTGTATTGTAGAATGAGGAAATTAACCTATCTACCACCTCCCATGCTTACTGGTTCTTTCTGGTGAGAACATTTCACACTAACTATTAGCAGTTTTGAAATATGCGTCAATAAAGCAGCAGTAGACATACGTGTAAACGTCTCTCTCTATAGTAGGATCCAAGAGTCCCTCAGGTATCTACCCAGCAGTGTTAAAGCTGGGCTATGTGAAAGACCTGGTTTGAGTTTTCTGAGGAGTCTCACACAGATTTCCAGTGACTGTACCAGTTTACAATCCCACTGATAGCGAATAAGGGTTCCTCTTTCCCCGAATCTTTGCCAGCATCGTTGAAATTTGTTTTCCTGTGGTCATCTTTGTTGTGTTTATAAAACGATAAAGAGATAAAGAGTATGTTCCGTGGGTGTGTGGAGAGGTATGGGGGAAGGGGACATCTCAGCAGGCCCATGCTGAGGCATCTCTTCTCCCTGAGGGACCAGCCACACGATGATATAGCAGAGAATAGAGTTTATTCAGGGCATGGAGAGGGGAGCTAGGAGGGTAATAGAGGCGGGGGGGGGGGTAGAGGAGTAGAGGCTGGCCATGACCATGTGGAGAGAGGGGGAAGGGAAGGGAGGAGGGGGCAGAGAGAAGCTACAGGCAAGAGAGCAAGAGAGTAAGAGGGTAAGAGAGAGAGGGGAGGGGGCAAGCAGCCCCTTTTATAGTGGGCAGGCCTACCTGGTTGTTGCCAGGTAATTGTGGAGGTGGAGTTTAGACAGTCTACTAACAATCTTGACTGGAATAAATGGAATCTCAAAGTAGTTTTCAGTTGCATACTGCTGTGGCTAAGGGTGCTGAACACTTTGTATCCATTTAATGATGCTTACTTGTGTATGCGCACGTGTGTGTCTGTGTGCGCATGCCAATGCTGCGGTACACGTGGAGGGGTCAAGTTTCAGGAGCCACTTCTCTCCTTTCACAGTGTGAGCCCCAGAGTCAAACTCCACTGCTAGGCTTGACAGCAAGGATTTTCGTCTGATGAGCTATTTTTCTACCCAACCAAGTGTGTTGAACACTTTGTTTGCAGACAGGGTTTCTCTGTGTAGCTCTGACTGTCTTGGAACTCGCTCTGTAGACCAGGCTGGCCTTGAACTCACAGAAATCTGCCTGCCTCTGCCTCCCAAGTCACCACAACTCCCCAGTTTGTTAAACATTATTTAAAGTGCTTATTAGCTGTTTGTATTTCGTTTGAGAATTCTTCATTCAATATCCCTTTTTAAAAATTGTTTCCTAGCTAATTTTTAAGTGGTTTGTGTATTCTAGATGTTAATTCACTGTCAGATGTGTGTCTGGCCAAGATTTTATCCCATTTCATGGTTTTCCTCTTCACCCTATTAACTGTTTTCCTTTGCTGTGTAGAAGGCTTTGAATTTCACTATTTTCCATTGGTCAATTTTCAGAGTCTTTCAGAAAGTCCTTACTTATGTCTGTTTCTTGAAGTGTTTCTCTTCCTTTTCCTCTGTTTTCAGAGTTTCATGTCCTATATATGTAAATTTTAGTTATCTAATGTATGAGTGCCCTGCTGCATATACATCCACCTGCCTGAAGAGGGCATCAGATTCCCTTATAGATGGTTGTGAGCCACCATGTGGTTGCTGGGAATTGAACTCAGGACCTCTGGAAGAGCAGCCAGTGCTCTTAACCACTGAGCCATCTTACCAGCCCCCATCATGTTTTATATTAAGGTTTTTGATCCACTAGGAGTTGATCCAGCTCTCCTCCTCCCCCTCCCTACAAAGTACTCCCCCTGAGTACCCCTAGTACTGGTGTTATAGGCATTCGCCACCATGCCTGGCTTTCCTCCCCTCAACTTTGGTTAAATTTTTTTTTTGACAATTTCATACATGCACCTACTGTGTTCTTGTTATCGTTACTGCTGACACCCTTTGAACCCCACCCAAACCCCTTCTAGTTCCCTTTCCCAATTCATGTGTTTTAGCCAGGGGCATTTGTGAGATTATTTGGAAGCCAGCATTTGGAGGCTGGTTGAGTAAGAACATATCTGAAAATGCGTTTTGGTATGTTCTATTTTCTTCCTTGCTGTTGACTTATGGTCTTCCTTAGTATCAAGAGAACCTTCTTTATGACAATAGTAATACCTGATTTTTTCCCACCCCTTTTCCTGCCTTTTATGGTGAGATGCATTTCTCCGAGCCAACAGAGAAATGATGCCTACTTTAAAATTTATTGGTTTATTGAGACAGGGTTTTTCTCATTGCCCTGGCTGTCCTGGCACTCACTATACACTGGTATGGGCTTGAACCCATACCACCTGCCTCCTGAGTTAGAGGTATGTGCCATTAGACCCGGCATGAGTCCTCCCTTTTGATTCAGTCTTCTAGCGTGTATCTTTTGATTAGGGAATTGAGACCATTTATATTCAGTCACTGGAACGTGTGCCTGCCATTTTTCTGGTTTCGTAGTGGTTGATGGTTTCCAGTCTTCTGATTATTCTAGCATGGATTGTCCTTTCCTGTGGCCTCATGGGTGCAGTCATCTCTCCCTTCAGTTCAAAAGATTCCTTCAAGTATCTTTTGTCGAGTTGGCTCAGCTGTCACGAGTCCCTTTAGCCTGTCGTAGGCAGCTTTCTGTCTCCGATTATGATAGTACCTTTGCTGGGTTGGCAATCATCTTTCAGTACTTGAAAGGCCTCATTCCAAGCCCTCTTAGCTTTATAAAAAATGACATTTGTGTGCCTCGAGTACGGGTTCACACATGCCGTGTGTGTGTGTGTCTCTGTGTGGGGTGGTCAGAGAACATCTGGGAGTTCTATCATATGGGTTCTGGGGCACACACTGGTTAACAGGCTTGACAGGCCCTTTTCCCACTGAGCTATGGGTCTTAGCAGCCCCTCCTGCTGCCACTGCTCTGGGTCCACTGTTACACAGGAGCGGGTGCTTCTCTCCTGCCTCTGTCAATACACATTTTATTGACTTCACTCTGAGGCATCCTTTCCGGCCTTGGGACACTGACATCTTGTGATCATTCAGTCTTTAAACTCAGGCATGAACTGTGATTTTCCCCCAAGGATTTTTTTTTAAGTTTTTGATTATCGTGTTTATTTTAAAAATCACTGTATAGTTTTTCATGCTATTATGACATCTAGATCTTTGAATGTCATGTTCCAGTAGTTTTTTTGGTAGTGGATATAGGTACAAATATTCTGAGAGTCTTACTTTGTAACCCTAGCTAGCCTGGAACTCACTATGTAGACCAGGCTAGTCTCAAACTCACAATGATCAGCCTGCCTCTGCCTCCCCAGTGCTAGGATTAAAGGTGTGCACCACCACACCTAGTTTACAGATGCAGTTTTGACATCTGTGCTGCTGTAAGTTCCTTCAGACTTTTGCTCTTGTAATTTTACCTCTTGTAAATATAAAGTCATGCAAGCATCGCCTGTAACTCAGTTCTAAAACATATCCAACACTTCTCTAATGGTTGTTTTATAGAGATTTTTGTTACTTCTTCCATCTCTAGCCTTGGGAAGATCCACTTCCTGCCTCCGTCACTGTGCTCGCTCTAGTTCTTACATCTAAGTGTTTGTAACTGACTCAAGGTAGAATGCTCTTGAGTTCATCCAAACTGCAGTGTCAGGGCTTTCCTTTTCCTTGCTGTGTAGTACTCTATTGTATGGTGAGTACTTTATCACCAGTTGAACCTTTGGGTTATTTCTATTATTGGCGGTTAAGCATCATGCCGTTATGAACATTCATCTTTGTATTTTACGTAGAGTACATTTTCATCTTGGTTAAATTCTAGGTATAGAATTGTAAACTCACGTAACTTAATTGATTTTTTAATAGAAACTCTACAAGTTTACTTAGATCGTAGAGCCCAATTATGTATTTGGAAGAGAAAAGTAGAACCTATTTTTATGAAGTTAAGGCAATGGTATTGGTTAGGATGTGACTCAGTGGCAGAGCCTGTGCTTAGCATATGCAAAGTCCTTTTTTCATTCTTAGAACAATAAAGAAAAAAGGACTAGTATATTAAATAAGACTTGGCTGATTTTCTTAGTTGCTTACAACATTAGGAAAATTATGTTGTAGACATTTCTCTTATCAAAAGACTTAATGAAGAACATGTCCTTACATAGTCAGTACCTCCTCCTAAACTATGACTATATTTCAAAGAGGCTGCCAGAAAGTTCTGGGTAGGTATCTTTGGCCTGGTAATTTTTACTAAACTGTAACTAGAAATTGTGGTCTTTATTGACATCAATACTTAATATTTTATTTAGAATTTTATGGTCAATTACATATCTGTGTGTCTGTCAGCATGTACATGTGGGTGGAACATCTGTAGATGTAGGAGGCATCTGAGTCCCTGGAAGCCACAGTTATAGGCAGTTGCAACTCACCCAGAATGTGCTGTCAATTCCTGTCAGGTCCTCTGCAAGAGCAGTCTGCACCCTTTAACTACTGAGCCGTCTCTACAGCCCCCATTTGATTATTTCTGTGAGTGTGTATTCGAGTGCCAAAGATGTCAGATCCCATTGAACTGGAGTCGCAGGCAATTATGAACGGCCTGCCATGATTACTGGAAACTGAGTTCCCGTCCTCTGGAAGATCAGCAAGTGCTCTTAAATGCTTAAGCGTGACAACTTTCTCATAGGTATTTTAGATTTTTTTTCCTTTTCTCTGCTTCACATCTTAAACTGATTGCCAGATGAAGAATTTGGAAGGGGAAGAGGTCTGTCAGTTTTCTCTGTTCAGGTACCCCTAATACATCTTGAGAACATGGGGACCCCAAAGGCTCAGGTCTGTTAAGTTTCCTGGCCCCCAGCTCCACACCCTGGTCTAGTTTTCACATTTTCTTTCTTGCATAAGTCTTGGGAGTTGAGCAGGTAGCTACTCATAAACCACGTCTCCCCTGCCCAAATGTCCTCCATGGTACCAGGATGCTGTGTGAGTTCCTCACAGGTGCAGCTAACCTTCACACGTGCTCACCCTCCAGCCCCTAGCAGACAACAGTCTATCAGAAGACGGCCTTGCTGGCAACCTCAGAGGTGTCCTCTCTGTTCCCTGTATTGTTCTTTCAGGCTCATCTATGTGGCGGGTCGGGAAGGCCACATGCTTAAGGTGCTCTCCTACATCAGTGTCAAGCACCTCACGCCGGCTCCTGCCCTCATATTTTATGTAAGTATGGATTCCACCCCAGATAGCAACAGAAAGCAGAGGGGTCTCTTGCCAGGAGATCCAGTAGAGCTGTGCTGCTGAGCCCAGGCTTTCTGAGAGAGCCAGGCTCTCTCATTCCTAGACACAATCCAGAAGCTTCCAAGCCTCAAGCCTCTGCGCTGCACCCTGTTACCTACATGGATGGACTTATCTGTTCTGAGGCAAATGACAGGAAGGCCTATAGCTCCAGGGAGGGGAATAAGGTCCTTCACAGTGGTTGGATTATCCCCCATGGCTGTGGTTTCTTGGTGACAGGTAGGCCTGGCTCAGGGCCAGGACACTGACTCCGCTCATGTTCATTTCCCCACTTACTCTGAAGATGAGGAAACAGACCCAGGAACTGGGTCACAAGTACAGTCATGACCAGTCCTGAATTGCGTCATAGTAAAAACTCTCCTGTTAAAGCCATCCTTATAAAGCTGGTGTACATGTGTGTGTGTATGTATATTTTTTTTCTTGCTTAAAATCGTGACTTTAGATCAGACATGATGACTATACCCAGCACTCAGGAGGCTGAGGCAGGAAGATCACAAATTTCAGGTCAGCCTGGATTATAGAGCAAGACTGTGCATATGTGTGTGTATGCGTGCATGTAAGAGCGCAAATATCCAAGGGCACTTCACAGACTCAAAGCTTTTGTTCAGGTTTTTCCTGTGGAGCCTTGAGAACAGATATCACGGTGGGCCAGCCTGCTGGGAGACAGAGAAAGTCTGCAGGAGAGGCTGCTGCCTTAGCCTTCTGTGAGGACAGGGACAATGTCTGTCTGCACTGGCAACCTAAAACACGACTCTTCCTCCCACTAGGGTATAATAGCCACCATTTACATCATCCCCGGGGACATCAACTCCTTAGTCAATTATTTCAGTTTTGCTGCATGGCTGTTTTATGGTCTGACAATCCTAGGACTCATTGTGATGAGATTCACGAGGAAAGACCTAGAGAGGCCCATCAAGGTGAGTCTGTGCTGACTGTCACAGCAGCTTTGGTTGCTGGAAAGAACTGGAAGGCAGCCATTTCTAATGCTCTTCATCCCGACTGCTCTGCTGTTGGGCATCCCTTGCTCATTTCAAACAATACTTTATGATCCACGCAGTCACTGGGGCACTCACTCACCAAGCTGTAGAGGGGATCCACATCCTACCTGCACCCCGTCCTGACAGGCCCTGGCTTCTCCCACATGCTTACACACTGATCAGGACTTTGGAACTGGCTCTGCTTCCAGCCTGTGTATATGTACAGTGTGCCCCAGTCCTTCCACGTGCACAGGCTGATGCATGCCTACGAACCCATGAGGACGTACGATGAACACCCATGTTACTTTATGCTTCTGGAAATGGATAAGTGCCAATCTAAGAAAGGTGTAGGCAAGAGGAGGGCTGCAGTGGGCAGGAGGAGCAGGGTAAGGGCTCAGTTAGCTTAGGGCTCTGTTGCTTAGCGCTGTCTGATGGTCCAGTGGCATCTCGGGTATTTACCCTCCACATCTAGGGTTCATTTAGCATTTCCAGCAGGCAAGATCATGGCGGCAGTATAAGTTTTTAGTCTTCACAAACCCCCTCATAAAAACAGACAGCGATAAAATACCCAAGGGGGAAGTCTCATAGCCAGTATCATCAGCACATGAGAAAATGGGCGATCGCCACAACCCAAGACTGGGCATGACGGAAGCACTGGTTTCCCAGCATCCACATGCTCTAGGATGGACACGCTTCGTGGGGCCCACTAGTGGAAGTGTGAGAGCAATATAACAACCTTCTCCTCCAGAGTCTTAGGATTTCCTCACAAAGCCTCCTTTCCAGGCCAGAGGCGTTTCTAGAACCATGGAAGAAGACAGCAGCTGGAGACAGAAGAGCATCAGGGCACAGCTGGGGAGGAAGTCCCCAGGGAGGGACATCAGAGCACATTGGGAAGCACCCTGGTATCCCTAAGGAGCACAGGAACAAAGACGCATGCAAGGGACCAGGAACTGGGAAGGAGAGGGAACAGTACCAGACACAGATAACACGTGTCCGAAAGGAAATGAGTAAGCCAAGCAGAAAACATTTCTAACTCAAGTATAAGAAAGAATCCCTGCAAAAGAGCGGAGTGGACAGTTCTAAAGCCATACATCCCTGGGGAGGGAGGGGTGGCTGGAGGTAGGACTCCACTCTCCAGACAACATTGAAAAGCACATGCTTCCAGGGGAAGGCTGGAGCTAGTACAGCCGACAAAATGTTTTCTGGTACAAATTATGGAACTTTAAAAATGCCTTGGACATCCACTTCTTTCTTGTCTCTGCCTCCATCCCCAAGTCACTTCTACAGTAGAGGGAAAAGACCCCTTTGATCACACTCGGACCAGAAGACAATCAAGTGCTACCCAAGGGGAGAGGATGCAAGCCAGTCTGCTGTCCAGTGAAACTGACCTTGAAGAATGGACCCCATGGAGGGATGCAGGAGGACTTCCTGCAGCCTCAGCACTCAGAAGCAGAAAGGGAAGACTGCCGTGAGCTCAGTTCAACAAGGATATGTCTATCTACATGAGACTTTGTCTTGGGGAATCGGGAGGTACAGAGAGAGGAGGGGAGGAGAGAGAAATATCAGGCAAATGAATAGAAAATAGATTGCGATCTTATCAGATAAGTACCCAGATTCAAAGCATTAAGACAAAAACAAAACAAAAAAAACCATCACCACCCCCCAACTCATTAATAAAAGCCAGAATGCACAGCTCTGAGATAGCAGTGAAGAAGCCTATTCACCAGTTTACCAGCAACTGGTAAATTCACAAAGCTGCAGGAGACACGGAATCAAAGCCACTGACAGGCAGCTTGGAGACACACACCTTAGTCTGCAGCAGGTCCAGACTCATCATTGGTAAAAGCCACTGAAGGCCTGAAGACTAAAGCCAGGTGGAGAGCAGCCTAGGTTCAGAGCCTAGACACTCCCATAAGATCTGAGCAAGCACAGCGACCTGCCTCTTCAAAGATGTGGGTAGTCGGGTACGATTGTCCTATGGTGTTCCAGCCGAAGTGTTCCTTCTTTCACCTGCAGCCACTTGTTTGCAGAAAGGGAGCCTTAACATACAGCGGAAAAGCCACACAGAGCTAGGGTCAGACACTCCATGCCATTTTTCTAATCTGACGGAACACAGGAGGCAAGGGAAGGGAAGGAATATGGAATTTGAAAGCAGGCAGCTTTAATTTGGCAGAGACGTAAACTTTCTTTATATTCAAATGAAGCATCTGCTTTTTCACATTCTAGTAAAGACAAGACAAAGGTGGGAGAGGCGAAACGATGGACAAAGTTTTGCTGGGCTTCACCACGCCTGTCTTGTTTCTAACAGTTTCAAGGGGAAACAGGAGCCGTCTCATGCCCACGTGTTGGTGTTCTCTGTTCTGCTTGCAGGTGCCTATCTTCATCCCTATCCTCGTGATTCTCGTATCTGTTTTCTTGGTTCTGGCTCCAATCATCAGTCAGCCGGCCTGGGAGTATCTCTACTGTGCACTGTTTATACTGAGTGGACTTATATTTTACTTCCTTTTTGTCTACTACAAGTTCGGATGGGCCCAGAGGATATCCAGTAAGTATCAACAGAAGGGCATAAGGAACGCACACTGGCTTGACTCAGCACTCCACATTTCCTCTTCAGCTGCATGCTCCCCACTGTCGCCCTCGGACCCACCCCTGCTGTCCTCTGTTCCTATCAATTACTGTAACAAGGAGGCGGCAGAAGTACCATTGTGTATTGCCAAATACACATTCACTGCCAACGGTTTTCCATGACAACCACACTGAGGGGGTAGTTTACAGGCGTCTGCAGTCTCGTCAGATGAGGTCTTTCAGAGCATGGCCTTTACTGTTGTTGCTATTTTGAGGCCAAAGTTACCCCAAAGTGACAGGTAGAACCAGAACCAGGTACAAGACAGAGGCCTGAATCCCCTCCCCCCAGCCACAGGTCTCTGTTCTGCCGTCCTTGTCCTCAGCTGTTTGGGCAAATGTTTTAAAAATCTAGTTGCATTTGCTCTGTTTCTACATGGAAAGTAAGGTGTCCAACACCACTATCAGAAGCCGAACTACACCTGGTTTTGTGTTTGGAGACAGGGTCTCACTGTGTAGCCTAGGTTGGTATCCCAACTCTTGGTCTTTCTGCCTCAGCCTCCTGGAGCTGGGGTTCCAGGCGTTGTGTCCTGCACTCAGTGCTGCTTCACTTTTAAAGTCTATCATATTTAGTGTTTTGCTATAGAGCAGATTTGGTCCCAAGAAACTCCAGACTCAAGGCTCCTGAGCATCCGTAGGTAGTGATGGAACTGTAGCATGTCTCCTCACTGTATGATGTCCCTTAAGGACAGGGACTGGGCTGTGCAGTTTAATCCTGGATCAGGCACAGGGTGTTGTGTACTACAGTCACTTAGTGTTAACTGAGTGTCTGTGATTAGAACCTGTCTCTTCCAGCTGGGCATTGCAAGCCGGGAATCCCAGTACTGGGGCAGAGGTAGGAAGGTTACACAGAGAAACCATTTCAACAGAAACAAAAAAAGAAAACCTGTTTTATTTATTTACTTATTTTTCTGTGTAGCTCTGGCTGACCTGGAACTCACTCTAGAGTAGGTTGGCCTTGAACTCACAGAAATCTGCCTGCTTCTACCTCTCAAGTGCTGGGATTAAAGGCATGTGCCCCCACTACAGGACTTTGAAAAAAAACCTACCTTTTAAGTATAATGTCTGGCCTGCAACTTAAGACAGAGGCGTACAGTTGAGAGCCGAGTGAAGCTGCAGATGGGGAGGGCCACCGTCAGCTTGAGCAGCGCCAGACATCCTCTCCCCATGCTGACTCAGCTGTCAAAGCTGGTACCTCACTTACCTCATAGGGATGCAAGAACCAAGAGGGAGAGCTTATTTCCTGTTGACCAAAGTAAAGTATGATGTTTCCCTTTCCTGGGGTCACTAGCCCCTCACCTCTTCAGAGAGCGTGAAGCCTGCAGAAAGCTAAGGACAGTCAGCATCAGGTCACAGCTGATTGGCCTGATGGATTAACTGTAGCCTAGAAAACCAAGCTGCTCACTGGACCATCTGCTAAGGCCTGATGACAAACCAATATAATCACAACTATCAGGAGGCTGAGGAGGACTGAGGCCAGCCTGGGCTACACAGCAAAACCTTGTCTCAAACAAACAAAAACATTGAATTAGTCTAAGGTGGTGAAAACAAAATGAACAATTTATATTTTAAATAAAATGTCATCCTGATTATTGCAGATTCATCCATGCTTTGCAGCAGATACATATGGTTGAGTCACAGAATGTAGGTCTTTGGTAGGAAGTAACTTACCTCGGAAGAACCCACACAGTGACTAGGGCACTTCTGACTGTCAACTTTAGGTGTCCGTGATGCAGGGTCTAGCTGATGACACATCACTGGAGTCAAAGCAGTGAAGCCTCGTGGCCACTCTGCTCTAACTGCACCTATGCCTTGGCTTCTTATGTTCCAGGGCCGGTTACCAAGCACCTGCAGATGCTGATGGAAGTTGTCCCGCCAGAGAAGGACCCAGAGTAAAAGGTCCATCACTCGTAGCCCAAAGCTATGATCAATTTATTTTTGTAAGCAATTATTTGTGATTATTTCTTCCTGATGTTTTTCTTAATGAAAACCTGTATTCAGATATTTGTTAAATATTATTTTTAGCAATCCCTAATTCTGTGAGTTAAGGGTCTTAAATAGAGGTAAGGTATGTTTTCTGACATCATCAGGAGTGCTGGATGTGGTGGCACATGCCTCTAATCCTAGCACAGGCAGGTGGACCTCTGTGACTTTGAGACCAGCCAGGACTACATTTGAGACCCTGTCTCAAAACAAACAAAAATCAAATAACAGAAACCCCTAAGTTACCAGGAGCTGTTACCCATTACCCGACAGGATGGATGGCTTGGGAAGGCTGCATAGTAGCATGCCTGCTGCTGCAGAAGTACTAAGTAATAAATAGCAAGGCACAGCACCTAACGAATGATAGGGAGCTGGGCAGCAGCTCAGGCTAGCCTAGCACAGGCAAGGCTCTGTGTCTGTTACAAACAGAACAGGCAATCCCCAAACTCACCCCAAGCTGCTGCTCACAGATCACTGGCAGGTTTCGCCTTGCTTTCCTCCTGCTCAGCATCCCATTTTTTACCCTGTGCTGTGCTGTGCATGGCTGGCCTGCCCCCTGCAACTGTCCAAGGCAACTCTGCTGGGGTCAGTATCACACGTACCCCCAGCTTACTGTCTTTACTGGCATTTACTTTCTAGAAAGTGTGAATGTTCCTTTGCATTCAACACAGAACAAAAACCCGTGAACAACATGACACTGGAGTTTTATTGATAACCCACCACAAGACGCTCGTATCCTATGGGAGCAGTTCGAGCACAGACTTTCAAGTCTTTCCATATCACATTCCAGAGAGTGTCTGTCCTCAGTCAGCACAGTTTAATACACTACAGAAAAGCAATGGCTCGTGTTTGCACAGCTAGTCTCCCATGTGCTACAAGATGTTGCTCAGAGGTTTAAGTATTGGAAAATCTGATCACCTGAAAAAAAAAATGATATCAACAGAGCCGTGCCCCATTTCCTTGGGTCTTCTGAGAGCACGCCACTTGCACTCAATGTGCAGTACCACCACAGCCCTCCCCCAGCTGGGTGGACCTGCATCCATACAAATGGACACCGACCACGCCCAGCCTCACAGTTGAATTGTTCCAGCAAGACACCATGCTTCCTGCTGTCTCAGGAGCCACTTTGCATTATGGCCACTCTGATACCGGCCTATCAACCTGAGAGTCATAGCAGCAAAAAGGATTTCCTCCTGGTAGCTGCCCAGGCTGGGCAGTCTCTGACTGCTGGGCACAGGTCTGACCTTCCTCACAGTCACTATGAAAGCCAGGTGCCCACCCCACAACACCCTGAACTCTTTAAAGTCAATTAAGAATTTCTCAGCTGGGCAGTGGTGGCGCACACCTTTAATCCCAGCACTTGGGAGGCAGAGACAGGCGGATTTCTGAGTTAGAGGCCAGCCTGGTCTACAGAGTGAGTTCCAGGACAGCCCGGACTACACAGAGAAACCCTGTCTCAAAAAAAACAAAAACAAAAACAAAAAAGAAAAACAACAAAAAAAAGAATTTCTCATTGTCAACCATGGCAGGGCCACACAGTGAGAGTAGAAGTCACTTTCCTGGTGAAAAGGGTTAGCTTGTGTGTCTGGTTCTGTCTCATCTTCTCACGGTCTCATTCGCTCTCACTCCCGTCAGTAGTGTCTGAAGAGGAGCCGCTGCTCTCAGCCACTGCTGCCACTTTGCAGGACAGGTTTTTAGAATGTACCACTGGAAGAGTTGGTATTATTGAAAACAGTACAGGTTAATTACCCATGCCCATTATTTGGTTAGTGTAGCAAATGTCCCGTGGGTCTAGCTCTGGTTTTCTTGCAAATTATTTAAGCAAGCAATGAGCAGACAGATGTCTGCTCTTAAGCAAACAGTTCTAAGGAAGAACATCATCAAAGGCATGTCATGGAGTGCAGTTAGACGGTACAGCGCTTTCCTACCACACATGAAGCTATGGGCTCCATCCCCTGAACTCAAAATCATTGAAGAAGCATGTTCACTACTAAGGGTCATTCCATACTCATCCTAGAACATTTAGCACCAAGATCAACCCCGGTTGGTAGGGATTTTCATTAATAGCCTATTTGCACAAAGGTAAAATCCCTAAAAACAGCTTGTGTTCACCCAATCTCCTTGCCCTGCCCTGTCCCCATCAGAGAAGCAGGGCCTGTGCATCTTACCCTTGGAGAAAGGGCTGTCCTCTTCACACTCCTCCCAGTGGTCAAAGTCAAAAGCCACATTAGGATTCTGAGCAACACAAGAGTGAACACAGGTATCTAAGTGCAAGGTGCTCACAATCACAGCTGCAGCCACAGGCACACCAACTCACCCTCTGCTTGAGGAGGCCACACCAGCACTCTCGTTTCTCCTTTGCCAGTGTGATGAGAGGCTCGTCATCCTTAATTATGCATTTGCAGTCATCTTTCCTTATGTCACCTTGCAGTTCCATATCAGCCAAGTAAAACCTGTCTCCTACCCAGGCACTAGGTTTTCAATAAACATAGTCAGCAATCTGAAATGTTGTATGTGACTTCAAATGTACTTTATCAGACACAAATAATAGCAAATAATAATTACATACAAACCTACCTGAAAATGACTCTATCTGTAAAGAATTTACACTTATAATCTTTGACATTCCTTATTTTTATCTTTAAGATGACCGCATCATCTTTTTGGAACCACTTTATTTGTGGGTGAAAGCTAGAAGGAAAGAAAAACGTTTTGTACTTGTGAGCATGCAGCTGCAGGCCGGGGGAGCAGTTCCCAGCAGAAGCACATACCTTCTCACATGTGGCTGTGTAGCTTTGCTAATGGTCTCACTGCCAATGTCATCAGATAACACTCCTGCACAAAATCAGTGTTAAAATTTCCAGATTATTTACATACAACATACATTTTTTTTTTACCCAAGGCAAGACAACTTTTACATGCAGAATTATGTTAAGAGTATACATTTCAGCTGGATATGGTGGTGCACACCTTTAATCCTAGTGCTTAGGAGGCAGAGACAGCCCAATGTTTGTGAATTGGAGGCCAGCCAGGTCTACATAGTGAGTTCCAGGACACCCACAGATATGTAGAAAGACCCTGGCTCAAAAAACAAACACAAAGAAAACAAATTTCATTAAAACTCAGTTATCTAGTAGCAAATAATAATTAGAAGAAACTAAATGCACATCATTTAGGAAACTGACACAATAATCTAAAATATAATAAACTTTAAAAGAGTAGAATTTATTAGGAAAGTGCAGTTGCTCTTGAAGAAGAGCCATGCTGTACTTCTGGTGTGCAGGCCTCCAGGCCTCCGCTTCCCTCAGCCTGCAGGCTTCCAGAACAGAACAACTGCTGAACAAACATTCTTTAAGACAATGGAATTTAGACTTACTACCTAAAATATTTAAAACATAAAACAAGGCTCTAGGTTTGATTCACAGCAATGCAAAAAAAAAAAATTATTAACCAGTTTTAATCCACAATAGCATCTACTGAGAAACAACCTTAGTGTTCTCAATAAACCCCTAGTACAAAATAAATGCTAATTCATATTATAGAATATAACATAACAATTAAGCCACATTGCTGGTTGCAATGCTACAGACCTGAGGAAGCTGCAGTGTATGTGACATGCTTCCAACTCAGCAAAACTGGCAGTGATAGGAACAAGAAGGAAAAGCTGGGTCACTGGAGAGGTTCTGCAAACTTTTGGCCAGTAGATTTAAGTGTGGACATTCCCTTCACTGGTTAAACACTCCCCACAGAGACAGCCACACTGAGGGAGAGTCACTGGCAGCCAGCACACAGTTCAGTGCTGTCTGTGTGGGCTGCACTGCGCTCAGTAGAAGGGAAGCCTAAATATGGGAAAGTCACAACTTGAGGTTAAGCTTCTTTTAAACACAGGTACTAACCAGGCTTTTGGTTGTCTGAGTCCACCTGGGAACCACCTCCTCTTTCTGTACCTCTATCTCCTTGCTGAGTGCCTTGCAAACACATGGTATCTTCTACTGTTGTAGGTGTCCTGAACAGAAGAGGCAGAGGTTACATAGACTTGAGGAGACACTGGCAAAAGAGGGTACAGACATTAAACAACTCAGGTGCATCCTGGAGTCAGACCTACCTGGAGTCTGTGTGGGCTGTAGACAGTGGGAGTGCAGGCCAGTCAGCTTTGCTTAGTGTGCTCTTGCTGCAACCAAGCATGCTGGGTGGGGAGGGGACAGGGATAGGGACACCTGATCAGAAAATGGCGCTCTCTCATTGGCTCAACTGGCCTTTCCTTCAAGCTCCCTGAACTAGGAAGAGGAGCACATACAGCTTCCCCACTCATACTTCATGGGAGAAAAGAGCCCAGGTGTAGAGCTAGTTTCTCCTCTTCCCTATCTGTCTCCTTGAATGTCTTTCCTAGAATCTATGTTATTATTAGTCTGGGTCAACTTCTAGAAATATTGTTTTCATAAAAAAGTATCAGTGGGGTAGGCGCAGGGAGGTGGCTCTCCAGCTCTGAAGTCAGTGAGGCAGGAAGGTCTAGAGGTTAAGAGTATTTATGACTTCAAAAAAATTCCATTCACATCTATACGCACAGAAATCTACTAAATCCAACACTGTACCCTTTCACTTTTGCCTATTAGCTAATTAGAGATTACCTCGTTCAGGTGACCACCTCTTTAAAAAATTACACACACACACACACACACACACACACACACACACACACACACACTCTGCAGCCACCTTTAATTCCAACTCTTAGAAGGCAGAGGCAAGCAGATCTCTTGAGTTCAAGGACAGCCTACTCTACACAGTAAAGTCTAGGACAGCCAGGACTATGTATAGACCTTGTCTCAAAAAAAATTAATAATATGTACCACTAATCTTTTGGCTGTTTAAGGATATAATCAGTTCTTAGGGTTTCTATTGTGATAGAACAC